TCTGTCTGTCTGTCTGTCTCTGTACAATACCCATATGTATATATAGGTAGGTAGATATACATACACAACATATAAGTACCTATCATATAAGACCGCATTGTAGAACTCATTGCGACTGTTGCGGGAACTACGGCCAACACTGATTGCACTTGTTATGCAGTACTGATTGTATGAAGCTCTGCTTTCTCCCATGGCTGTTCGCTTTCGACTGGTGTCACGATCTCTGGGTTTCTCCTGGTACAATTGCCATCCGAACGCTGGAGCCGGATTCATGGTGACCGCCCAGGAGTTGAACACAAATGCGACTCGCGACAGTGGCATAAAAGCCTTCGTTTCAGGCTTCTGGATGTTAGGCACACCGGTAACAATGTGAATAGCACTTGCAACGAATAGTAGCTAGAAATAGAAATAATTTTCTTGCACCGTAAATGCGGTACTGAAGCAGGCTCCTCCTCCTCTGACTTCTTCGGAGGCTCCCACTTCACTTCGATAGTGTTGGCGCCAGTCTTCCCTGGTAAGGTTTAGGGTTTATATAGGGCCTTTGTCTGGAATTTGAAGTTTAAGGCATGACGGCTTTGGGCTTCGGGGCTTCAGGTTTAAGGCAGTACTGAGCATAGTGCACTCGAGAAGCAGGGCAAGACATTCAGGGAATGCAGTTTCTGGCTGCAGCATGCCTCGGAAAGTTGTGCAAAAACTCGAAACCGTCTAATTAATCCGCGTTTGACTCCAGTCTTTAATCATGTCTAGTCTAGTCCCGTCTCTGTAGTCGCCCATTGTACCCCCACACCTTGACATCTCAAATTCCAAACCTGTAATCCGTCACGCGCTGCCAACGGCCACGCTCTGGACCGATGTACTGCATCAGGACGCCAAGCCCTTCTCCAATATGCCACAATGAATCTCCGTTTTTTGCATGGGTTGTAGGAAAAGCTGAATCCGAATCCCTGAACCTTTCTGCAGCCCTAAACCCTAAACCGTTTCAGGGTTTGAGACTTCCACCCTTTCCCAACACCGGTGGCTCTCTCGGGCAACGGCCGTTGACCTCCTCCTGGTACTCTTCCACCTGAGTTCCGTAACAGTGCCAGGATTTAAGGTTTAGGGTTTAGGGGGTATGTCATGGTATACTTGAAACTATTAGTGTAGGGGCCTTCATGATTAGAATAGGGTTTTGGGGCCCCTTATGCTATGGTTATAGTAAGGAGCCCCCAAAATAGTGTAGGCAATGATCAAGGCCCTTATATTGCCACATGAATTATTTCGTGAAGTGGCCTTGCTAATCAGAACGGGGCCTATGGGCTCTGTGAAGGCTTCTTTCGGGGTTTAGTGTGGGCTCTTGGTGCCTTAAATTTTAAATATTCGGAACATGTTGCGTCCAAAGTGCACATGGTAGAATTCGAAGGAAACACTATGCCAACTTTTCCGAGCTCTGCACCTTAAACACTTAAGCGCCAAGCTTTATGCATCCCCAAATCACAGCACCCCGGAGCGCAAAATCTTACAAGTTACATACTATCAACCCACACGTGACACAGCAAACAAAGCCAGGTACAAATGCTGTGGGTGCAAGCTGTTGTAGACGTGCCATAGTAGTTCCTTGCGATACTGCTAGAAATCCTACCGAAACCGTGAACCCAGAACAACCCTAAACCCCACCTATCTGTCCAGCTGAGTATCTTTCTGTCTACCCATTTAGCTATAGATCTATGCATCTGTTTATGTATCCATCTACCTATCTACCTATCCATTTACCCACCTTTCCACCCACCCCCGCACACCTTGGTATTCGCCCGTGTGCTTTCCTTCACTTTTCCTATCTGGTGGGGTGGGGTAGTGGGGGGGGTGGGCGGGAAAGACGGGGGTGGTTACGACCATGTTCATTACACAAATCAACCCAAACTCTGATTGTTATGGCATCTTTGCTTGTTTATACAACTTGTTGCAGAAGGATGTTTGATGTTCAGCAACCCGGAGCGCGGTCGCACGTGTTCTCGACATTTGCGAACATGCCCAAACCCCTGCTATATACAGCATTTTGCCTCTTTACACAACATGTCGCAGGAGGATGACATTTGCGAACATGCCCAAAACCGTGCTATTCTCAACATTGTTGCCTCTTTATACAACATGCGTCTCATTGAATACATCTACAGCTGAGTCTGGCGCTCGCAGTTGGATCGCGAAGCGGACGTCGCGGATCACTTGCGGAAAGTGTGGTAAAATAAGTCCCCTAAGTTTGAGTCTCTGGATGTCATGATGCACGAAACCCTCCATTTCCACAGCCACACGCACGAAGTCATGCAATTCATAGCAAATGCCGTGTATGCCCGGAAACATGCAGGCCCGCCGCCACACGGCCAGACATCAGCATGTGACCACCTATGCACCTACTCATCTACTTGCCTAGCTGCTTCCCTATCAATGATCCAACCTACCGATCTAACTACCTACAAGTACAAACATATCCACCCACCTGGCTAGCGAACAGCAAATATGTACATACATACCTACGTACCTACGTA